AAACGTGGCTTAGTAACATATTCCAAGAACATCACTAAAGGGGGTGGGCGTTCCCCCATCTCCTTGGGAAGACATCAGTGGGACAATTACTGTCCATCCATATCTTTACAAAGAACCCTTCCTTTGTTCCCATCTCTTCTCCCACTTCTCTTTAAAGAGAAAAACAGACAAAAATCTGTTTTCATTATTGAACACTTAATGAATTGACAAGCAAATGACAGGAACTCGTCACGTCTCTTATTTAACACCATAGAAACCAGAGGAGCTTTGAAAGTTCCTTCCCTCCGTGAATTCTTTATGGACATGTTGGAGATAAGAAGGACACTAAGCAATTCAATCTCCGTCTCCCTCATCAATCAATGGCAGATTTCCATCACGGGCCTTCTCGATCGCATTCAGAAGGGGTGTGATCCCATTTTCCCAGCAGCACCAAGCGCTAAGCAGATTCAGCCAGGCATCTTTGAAGAAGATTTAATTCTATTGGGAGTTTCCAAACAATGTGTTCTACTAATTTTTAAAAGCTGCTGGGTTTTCTACTAAAAATACAAAACCAACACATACAAATAAAGATCAAATACTCAGTTACAAGCATATTGGACTAGACTTGATTGCTACTCATAAGCTTCCACTTTATTTGTCCACTTTACTGCAAAGCGGTTGTGCTTGCGAATGAACAGATGTTTTTACACTGAGTTTTCAGTCAAGCTCTTTTCAAGGAACATAAGACAAATTCTCAAAGGCTAACGCTCAACTTTAGAGGACACACGGTCAGCTTCAGTATGGAAGCAAGTCTAAATTCTTCTCGCACAAAAAGCGTAGATTCTTTCCACGACTGAGATGCAAGCCACTGAAAAAAGTTTGAAAAAACGTTCGCTCGCTTTGATTTAAAACATTGTCATACCATATTTAAACTGCAAATACGGCAGCATTCAGAACCTGAAATAGAACAGATGCTGGCGATCTGCAAATGTCCAAAGTAGCGGACATTCGGATGTAGGGGAAAATTTTAGATCTTTTTAATAAGAATATTTTCAGTATATGGCCAATAGCATTAGCTCACAAGGTGCCATTAGGCTGGCATGCTCCTTAACGCAGTCCGTCCACATCTCCACCTCACCTTCTCCTTCCCCAGTGACTTGTTCACAATCCCAACTGTAACTTCAGGCTGCACATGAGGCAAATGTGGTTCTGAAACAGCCTTCCAGTAGGAGCAGAGAAGGCAAAAGGCTCCCCTCAACTGCTCCTGAAACAAAGCTGGATCAGTTAAGAAATAGGATTGGCATCGACAGTTGGCAGCGACATCTCTGCCAATTCTTTTATTCTTTCTCTAGAAACAACCTCTGTAGCGTAACACACTATTTCATTCAACTTCCTGATAATTTATGTCACAGCTTTATTTTATTCTCTTTTTATTAAGTGAATACACTACTTGGGAGTTTCACCAGCCAAGAAAGACATAACTGACTACTTATGTATTTGGACTGCTAGGAAAGCACCCCCTGGACCACCCCGTCAGCATGCCGAGGGAAAAGGATGTGGGTCACTTGTGAGAGACGCAAGCGGCAGCCACCTGCCACCCTTCTCTGTAACAGACCGAATGAATCCACAGCCCGCTAGCCGCCACGCTCAGAATAAGAGGGCTAAAATCTGACAGATTTGTCTAAAATAAGGGAATTTTCTATTTCAGTTATACTCTGAAAACTCTGGCAGGCGTTGCTACATATGCATGGTTCTGCACAGATTTTCTTTGGAACTGTAAGAACAAGATACTTCTTTGTAATGAAAGAGAGATTCTGGAGAACAACAGAGATCTGTTCAGTCTTGAAGAGCCTGTTGTGTCCCCTAGGGCATGCCCTACTTTTAGAAGGGCAGTTTTAAGCATCTAAAATAACAATGTTAACCATACGATGACAAATACCTTCTCCTGTAGGATCTTCGTCTCTGTGTAATAGTCGATAGGTTTTTTTGCATAAGGGAGGTCTTCTGATCCATTTTTTATGTCTGTGCCCTCAAAAACTACACTGGCACTGCTAGTTAACACCAGTTTCTGTAATAGATGTGAAACAAAACAGTTGTTTAAAGCCTAAGACAAAAGGGTCATTATTTACAAAGGCTGAGTAAAGACAATAATAGTGTTTAATCAACTGATTCTCCAGATAATAAACTAAGTCTAGAAGAACACGGGCTAACAGAAGGTGATCTGAAACCGCAGGTAAGAAAACTCCCACTCTTTTAATTGACTCGTCACATCGTTTAGTGCTACCTAGAGGAGACTAAAACATTTCAACAAACATCCACGGCAGCTAGTCAAGGGGAAGACATCTCCAGGAAAGCCAGAGTGTCCGCTTGGCTTGGCACATTTTAGCACTTAACATGCAATGAGTGTTTTTAAGATATATTTGCTCATTTTGACAATAACAATATCATGGCAGGTTAAACCAAAAAAGAATTCGTATCTTGGATGTTTTTGTTGGATAAAAACATACCCTGGTGTATTTAAAACAGGAAGTCGGTGATGTATTTGAGTAATCAGAAACATGTGGTTTTAAACAAGATCTACATTGTAACAGAAAGATGATGAGATCCAACAAGTTCCAACAAGACTTAAACTCCTTGCTCTGAGAGAATCCAGACTAAGCCTGAAGGTAAACACCGCGTGGCCCATTTCCTCTAACAGTGTGTTACACGAGGGGAGAAAACCAACAAACTGTGGGGCTTGGAGTCCTGTTTAACTCTAAACATCACCACTTCCGTATTTGTACGTGGACACTGCTCAAAAGGCATGCTTTGGAGGCAACATCTCTGCCCAAATTAAGTAAGGGATCTTCACATGCATTGCGCTTGAAAATTTGCTAAGAACTTAAATGAAAATTCACGTGGTATAAAATAACACAGGGCGGGGGGAACACAAACCAAAAAACTTGCCCGAACAGCAGCCTGGTTTCCTCTGGCTCTTTCTTTTGTGGGTAAATGACTTTCTAAATCAAATTATACTGAGATTATGGCACAAGTGTGTTCCTTCTCATTATAGGTCAAAGAATTCATGTAGGTAATTGATGACATGAATACTTCCGCTGCTGGATAAGCTGTCTTTAGAGCTGTCCTCTTATTAAAGCATGAAAGAATCCACTTGTCAGTCATGGCTCTCCCGCGGGTGATTCCCAGACGTCTAGTAGGACAAATTTTAATAGATGCTTTTCCTGCAGTCAGGAAGATTGCAATGTGTAGGTTTTCTGTGGCAAACATGGGCTGAGCTTACACCAGACATTAAGCAGGAGACCAACAGAGTCTCTCTCTTCTACTAGTTTTCATAGAACAAGTAGGGATTCAGTATCTCGGAGACCTTTGCCCCTCTATCAAACCAGACTGAAATTGGTCTGTGCTACAATTGTCATTAAGCAACATCAGCGTTTTATAGTCTCCATGTGCTTTTCGACCCTTACCTGCACTCCAGCTTCTTTGCAGGCTTCAATGACTGCTTTGGTTCCCATAAAATTCACCTTATAAAACAGTTCCTTGTTGTCACTTGAAGGTGCTGGTGATGCACAATGAAATGCCACTGACACACCTTGCAAAGCTGGGAGCAAAGCCTAGAAGATACATCGCATGAGATCGCAATGAAGCAACAGCAATAGCGCCTACTCAGAACAAATCAAAAAAAAAGGAAGGAAATAAAACACAGTTCTTCTCTTCACAGAAACAAAACCGCTAAATCTCAAGTCATGTTCCTTCCATCAAGGTGAGCAGCTGGAGTAGGATTAGCATCCAGGATCTTCACGGTGTCCTCTCCTTCTTGCTAGGCAAAAAAGCATCTTTTCTTTCCCGAGAAGGACCTGGGAACTTTGTGAGATCTGGAGGCTATCTAGACTGAACTGCTTGCAATAGTCTCAAGTGCAGGTATGAGACTCAAAATTACCTGGAGACAGGAGTTAGAAAACTTAGCAAGCAGCAGGTTTAGCAGCCAACAGTCCCCTGTGGCACTGTCTGTGTTTGAGATGAGTGTCACAAAGCTCTGAGACGTGATACTTTATACTGGGGGGAGACGTCTCTTCACGTTGCATATAAATGTTTTTGCCAAGGCTCACACGCATGACTGAGTTAAGGCAAGAGGTCTTAGTGTGCCTTAACTGTTAGGAATAATGCATTCTGCTGTTCTCATGCAGCTGAGGTTAGCTAGGAGAGAACCCACATGCAATTACCAACAGTGACTGTAATTAGACTGTGTATCTGAGCTAACAGTAATGCATATCATAATACAGAAACAAGTTCTGTTCTTTTCAGCTTCAAGTAGACATCACATATATTTCTTTAAATGTTCTATTTGAGGGTTCCCCAGAAAACTGCTTAGGCTACTGACTTCAGGGGGAAAGGTTGGGGGGTATATCTAGATACCCACTTACAACCTGTACAACTCCTTCATGTTTTTTAGTGCATCAGGCAAGGCTCGGTAAGCTATTTGAATAAGTATTTATTTAAACAGATATCCTTTCTATCTATCCATGTCACGTACTGTTGTTAGTCTGTACCTCTTTGTCGCAAAGGTCTCCCAGGAAGAACTGCACTCTGTCATTGTCAAATCTCTTCTGAATATCAAACACGTTGACGGCATAACCCTTCTCCAGGAGCTGCTCCACCATGTGCTGGCCTAAGAATCCTGACCCGCCGATCACTGTACATTTCTTACCAGCCTGCAGAGACAGGGAGAAAAGCACTTTAGCAAGCAGACATACACCAACAAACTGCACGAGTAAACCGATCTGAACTTCCTGAGGTCTCAACGTGCTGGAATTTTGCACAACTAATCAGTAGAGAGTGTAATTGGAAGAGTCTAAATTCAGATATCAACAGACTCTTCAGTATGTCTGTTGTGTCACAGTAACTTAACAGTTCAGAGACGCTAATGGTCCACATGGCTCATGTGCTGGTTTGTTTTGGGCAGGACTCTGCCTCATAACCAAGTGGTTAAGGGAAGAGGACTGGCTCCGAAAAACTCTGCCCTGATGGTAAAGCAAACAGAATTTCCTTCAGCCACATGGCACAGACAATTCAAAATGCTAAAACAGTCACCACCAGCAAGGATAAAACCATTTTCAGAGCATGCAAAACTTAGGCTTCTCCAAGCCAAGAAAGCAATCAGGTACAGGCAAGGCTTATCCTCTTAAGTTAGTCATTAGTTCTTCCTTTCTTTTTTTAAGCTTTTTAATGGCTAGAGTCACTAATTAACAGATTCTGGTCTGGTCACTCGTTTAACTGGACTGAGACTGAAGATCTTACTGCCAACATAGGACATACAAGCAACGAGTCTGAGGAAGCTTTTGTACAAAGAATGCTCTGTCCTGGTTGGAAATAGATTTGCTTCTTATTGTTGCCACACAAAACCCCACCTCTGCAGTTATACTATCGAGCTGAAGGGAATTTTAACCCAGTGAAACCACACAAAGACGACGATTGTTCAGGAGTTTCTAAGTGCTACATCCCTAAACAAAGGCTCTACTGCAGTGTCAATTATCCACAACAGAAATTAGAAGAGTTTACTGCAGTTTCTCAGTTACATTAAAGCATAACCAGTTATTTAGAATGGTGCATGCAAAGTACAGTCTGATTAAAGCAATTTTTAAAAAGCGGTCTATTTGGTTTTGATAGTTGCAAGAGAACAAACAATATAGAAAGAACCTAAGAACCTAGAAAGAGCCTAAGAACTCTCTGTAGCTCGCTCTCCCTGTATTCCCCCATGACAACAGGTTTGCTTTCACTTTACTCATCAGCTTCCTGATTCTCTGAACGCTGTGACATGCCTCCCCTCTGCGGTGTCCTCTCCCCGTTGAGGGGTCTAGCCTTTCCTCCTCCAAAGGCAGTCGCTCCGTTCCATCGATATTTTTACCTGTCTTCCCCTGTACCCTTTCTCATTCCGGTGTGTTCTTCATAAAATGAGAGCACCCGAACTGCACACTGCACTGAGATGTGCTGAACCAAAGTGTTACAGCGGCAGAATGACGCCCTCTGTCTGTCTCGAAATATCAGAATCGTTTTCTGCCAGTACGGATGACATAGTCCAGGTTTTTCTGTATGATAGTTTTCCAAGTAAAGGACAGTATTCTAACCGGTGATGAGAAGCAGACTATTTAAATAATCCTTAGTGCCCATTTATAATGTGCAATACAATCTAGTACACACATCTCTTGGGAAAGTACTAAAGGAAACAAGTGAATGACCAGAATTGGTATAACTGCAGCTAACGGTGCTGCACCCAGATTAATTAGCTGTTTTAAAAAATGCAGGTAGAAAGCCAGGCTACGCATGATTATATTGATTTTAGGATATGAATTACTACCTATCTAGTGTTCTGCTGGGAAGATACAACAGCTTGTTCACGCTCTCTAAAATGATGATACATTGGGGATTTTTTTGGTTTCTTTGTTTCCTAAATATCTGAGATTCACTGGTCTTCCATCAGCTTCATATGAATTAATGAGAAAATAATTCAGAAGGTAGGAATTTCTCTATAAACGAGAGCCATAGGCAATGCAACAGAAGAGCTTAATAAACTGTACTCCTAAGAACAAGGTTCAAACATCTCTCTGAGCTAATAAAAAATGTTACGCTTCCCATACTCTAACCTCCTGTATTGCATGCAGTAATCATAGAAAGAAGTTACAACGGTCTAGTAGATCTCAGGGATCTCAGCTGGGCTTTTATCTGCACTACAACAAGGAATAATGTTATAAGGCACATAGAAATGATCGTGGAGTTACTTGATCTCCAGACCAATTGATTTGGCAGCGCTGACAAAGCCACTGGTGTTCCTGGAGTGGGGTGGGGGATTTGGAGCATTCCTGGATCTCTTTGGAACTAATGGCAGCAAACGACTCCTTGGAAAATCACATTTCCGCCACCAGTATCTCTAGAGTTAGTGTTAATGCAGGAACAGTCTCATGTCTTCCCTAGCAATGTTCTGAAGAAATATCTATGAAAATCTGTTTCTGCAAGACAAATCTTCATAAAGGATTATTTAAGTCCTCAACTTACCGATCTGAGGCGTGTGGCCATTTCTCAGATGATTCACTATCAACCTGATTCCTTTAAAAAAAGAGAATATTACTTTATTCACAACCCAATACTTTACTTAAGCATGCCATTAACACAAACCAAACTTTTTTTTCAAACTCATTTCTAGTTACAAAAATCAAGGTTTGAAGCCATGATGCTAAAGCAGAAGCATGAAAAGAGTGAGCTAATTCTCTCTGCCC